ATCCACTCACCTCAGCCTCCCAAAGTGTGGGATTACAGGCTGAGCCACCGAGCCCAGCAGGATTTTTTTTTTTTTACAAGATAAAATACCTGTATAAGGGAATCCAGTATTAATGTGGCAACTGACTTCTCTTCATTATCTTGCTCAAAAAGAATTTCCACAACGGAGTCTCTAAAGAGATTTAAAAAAGAGAGCATTTTGTTGGGGTCACATAATATGATACAGAACATACCGTTATTTCTGTTGACATAATATTTTTTAAGTGTCAGTACTAGGTTAATACAGAATAATTCTTAAAATACAAAGTGTTTTCACTTGTAAATGGGGAAATAACAGTACCTGCCTCACAGGGATTGAGGTAAAAATTCAATGAGTTAACAGAACAGGGTCTGCTCAGGGAGGCATTCTCAAAGCATTAGCCACAACTATTATCACATATAGATTTACATATAGTATTTTGTGTCCAGTTTTAACTCCCCAAACCTAATAACAAAATAAACAGTATCCAATAAAAGTCAGTTAGATTTGGGCCAGGTGCAGTGATTCATGCCTGTAATCCCAGTACTTTGGGAGGTAGAGGCGAGAGGATTGCCTGAGCCCAGGGGTTCAAAACCAGCCTGGGCAACATGGTGAGACCTCATCACTGCAATAAATTAAAAAAAAACAAAAAGAAACTAGCCAAGCAAGGTGGCACGGGCCTGTGATTCCAGCTATTTGGAAGGTTGAAACAGAAGGACTGCCTAAGCCCAGCAGGTTGAGGCTGCGGTGGCCGTGAGTATGCCACTCTACTATAGCCTGGGGAAGACAGAGTGAGACGGACTCCAAAAAAAAAAAAAAGTAAGATTCAACAAGCAGACTAATTAATGGTACAAAAGATTTAAAAGCAAACAAAAATCTTCCTTCATTTCTTTGTTTTTTAAAATAATATCTAACAAGGATAGTTGTCTAATAAAACACCAATTTTCCAGTTTGACTCAAATTAAAAGAACTCTATTTTTTAGCTGGGTGCTTGTAATCCCAGCACTTTGGGAGGCTGAAGGGAGAGGACTGTCTGAGCCCAGGGGTTCAAGACCAGTCTGGGCAACTTGGTGAGACCTCATCTCTACAATAAATAAAAAAATTAGCTGGGCGTGGTGGCACATGCCTGTGGTTCCAGATACTTGGAAGGCTGAGGTGGATGGATCATCTGAGTCCAGCAGGTCGAGGCTGCAGTGGCCATGAGCAAGCTACTGCACTCTAGCCTGGGCAACAGAGTGAGACATCAACTCAAAAAAAAGAAGAAAAAAAAAAGAACTCTATTTTTGAGTAGCATAAGGAAGATGTTAGTAGTAATAAAATAGTTCTTTAAGGTATACAACATGATGTTTTGATATAGGTATACACAATAAAATGATTATTATAGTCAAGCAAATTAATCTATCCATCGTCTTACATAGTTAGCTTTTTTTTTTTTTTGGTGGTAAAAGCGTCTAAAATCTACTCTTAGCAAATTTTCAGTATAATAATACAATATTATTACCTGCTCATCACACTGTACATTAGATCTCTGAACTTGCCCTATATAACTCTTAAGTTTGTACCTTTGATCTCTCCATTTCCTTCCTCTCCCCACCCCTGGCAACCACTGTTCTATTTTGTTTCTAGATATTTAACTTTTTTTAGATTACACATATAAATGAGATCAAGCAGTAATTTTCTTTCTGTGTCTGGCAATAGGTCTGTATCTTGATTGATGCAGTGACTACAGAAATCTACACATGACAAATTTACACAGAACTATACATACACTTTACACCAAAGCCAATTTACTAGTTTTGATATGATACTACAGTTATATAAAAGGTAACCATTGAGGGAAACTGGAAGGTACACAGGACCTCTCTGTATTATCTTTTACAACTGACCTTTAATCTATAATTATTTGAAAATAAAAAAAGTTAAGACCCCATTTTGAAGCTGGATATATTGTGCCCTAATCCCAACTCCACCAGTTAAAACACTACATTTATCAGCTGCCTTGCAACCAGATATAGTTAGTACTGGACAATGAGATGAAGGCAGAAGTGATATGTGGGACTTATAGTTAAGCACTTTTTTCTTTCCCTTCTTAGGACCACTTGCTTGAAACACAGGCAGTAGCTTTAATTCCAGCAGCCGTCTTGGACCTCAGAAAACAATGAGTACATCTCAGATGTGATAGATGGAGGGATATTTGGGCACTTGATAGAGGTGTCATACCATCCCTGCACTATCTACTTCTGAACTTATTTTAAATGAGAGACAAACTTCTACCTTGTTGAAGCCTTTATCTTCAGGTTTGTATAACTTGTGACCAAATCAAATCCTAACCGATACAATACAAAACTAACTATACATATGTATATATAAACATAGTGAGACCTCATCTCTACAAAAAAAATTAATTAAAAAATTAGTCAGGTATCATGGTGCATGCCTGTAGTCCCAGCTACTCGGGAAGCTGAGGTGGGAGGATCACCTGAGCCCAGAAGTTCGAGGCTGTGGTGAGCCTGGATCTCATTATGTCACCTAGGCTGGTCTTAAACTCCCACCTTGGCCTCCCAAAGTGCTAGGATTGCAGACATAAGCCACTGCTCCTGGTCAGTTGAATTTCTTTAAACATTTATATTCTATTATTCTGAGCTCCACTAAACAATCAGGATAAATTTAAAATAGTAACTTAATAAACATCACTTAAGACAATAAAATGATATAAAAAATATCAATGAGTGTTACAGTCTTGTTTTTGTTACCACATCCTGTCTCTAACTTCTATATATTTAAATGTCTTTAGTATCTCAATCTCTATATTAACTATCTCAAAATCTAATAGAATTTTCAATATGTTACATAATAATTATTCTCTATGCATCTCCTTCTCTCTCTTATTTATTTTTTTTGAATTAGAGTCTCGCTCTGTTGCCCAGGCTGGAGTACAGTGACACAATTATAGCTCACTGCAACCTCAATACCCTAGGCTCAGGTGATCCTGCTGCTTCAGCGTCCCAAGTAGCTGGTATTACAAGCATGCACCAGCATGCCTGGCTCATTTTTTTGGGTATTTTGTAGAGATGGGGGGCTCTCAAACTCCTGGACTCAAGAGATCCTCAGCTTCCCAAGGTGCTGGAATTACAGGCCTCAGCTACTGTGCCTGGCCTCTGTGTATCTTCGGATCTTATATTTTACAAAGGAAACTTTTTATAAGATAAATTTTATAAAACTGGGATATAAATGAAAATTATGTTTTTACCAATATAATCATATAAATCTTTAGCAACAATTTATATTGCATCATCAGACAGAATAATCAAATGAATAAAAAAAGGTCAATTACTAATGAAACCTAAAGATTGAGTGTATTTGGAATAATGTATTCTTTTTCACAAAAAATTTCAAAGCAGGAATTAGCAAACTATGGCCTGAGAATAAAAAGCTGCTTACCACCTGTTTTTTCAGATGAAGTTTTACTGGAACACAGCCATGCTCACTCACTTATATATTGTCTATGGCTGATTTTGTTTTTTTGTTTTTTTGAGTTGGAGTCTCACTCTGTCACCCAGGCAGGAGTGCAGTGGCACACTCACAGCCACCACAGCCTCAACCTACTGGGCTCAGGTGATTCTTCCACCTCAGCCTTCCAAGTAGCTGGAACCACAGGTGCACACCACCACACCCAGCTAATTTTTTGATTTATTGTAGAGATAAAGTTTCACCAAGTTGCCCAGGCTGGTCTTGAACCCCTAAGCTCATGCAATCCTCTCACTTCCACCTCTCAAAGTGCTGGGATTATAGGTGTGAGCCAATACCCCAAGTGTGATTTTCTATCTCAACTGTGGAGTTGAATAGTTACAACAGAGACCATATGGAATCGTAAGTCTGAGATATTTACTGTCTGGTCCTTTACAGAAAACGTTTGTTAACTCTGTATCATACTTCTTGCTCCACCTCTAAGAGTGATTAGTTTCTTTAATTATTTAATTTAATTAAAATAATTTTGAATTACTTTGATGAATAGCAAAGAAAAAAAATACATATATTATATATGAGGGGGGACCCCTCACAAAAAAAAAAACAGAATTATTTTTTGGAGGGCGGCCCCTTGTTGTACAGGCTTCCCCTGCTGGGTAAGTGTTTTATTTTATTTATTTGAGTTGGAGCCTCACTCTGTCACCCAGGCTGGAGTGCATTGGCATGCTCATGACCACCACAGCCTCGACCTGCTGGGTTCAGGTAATCCTTCTGCCTCAGACTTCCAAGCAGCTACAACTACAGACATGCACCATTATGCCCAGCTAATTTTTTGATTTGTTGTAGAAATGAGGTCTCCCCAAGTTGCTCAGGCTGGTCTCGAACCCGTGGGTTCACGCAATTCTCTCACCTTAGCCTCCCAAAGTGCTGGGATTATAGGCGTAAGCCACTGCGCCCAGCCTAAGTAAGTTTTTTAGAAACCCATTGGAATCAGCGTACCAGCTAGCACTGTTGTGAGAGACTGTGTTCAACACAGTACATTTTTTTTTGGAGATCTTTGAACTCGTTTACCCATTTCATGATGGGTACACCTGTCCATATCACACTGAGTGTTTTGCAGTTTTTGCCCCAAAACAGCATGACTCCTGTGCCCCACCCTACTTATTCACCCCAGTCTCACCCAAGCAACTTTTTTTCTTTCCCTGGATGAAAAGAATTCTCAAAGGAAAAACATTTTGTTGATGTGGAAGAGGTGAAACTAAAAGCAGCCATAAGCACTAAAAGGCATCAGAACTGGTGAGTTCAAAAATTGTTTTGAGCAGTGGGAAAAGCATCTCGATAAGTGTATTGCATCAAACGAAGAGTATACTGAAGATGACTGAAGTTTAAACATGTAAGAATACACAATTTTTTATAAATAAATTTTGGGTTCCCCCTCGTGAATACATATTTTAGAGACAGGGTCTCATTATGTTGCCGAGGCTGGTTTCGAACTCCTAGGCTCAAGTGATCTTCCTGCTTTAAGTAGCTGAGATTAAAGATGTGTGCCACTGCACCCAATTTAGGAAAAAAATATTTAGAAAAAAAAAATTTTGAAGCTGAATAAAATTAATCATGAATGATGACACTAAAGGAAAAAACACTTAACTGTTAAGTTGACTACACTGAAAAAAAGTCTATTTTTTTTTTTAAAGTCAAAAATTTATTTTAGTTCACTACTTTGCTCATAACAATTAAGATCTAACCTGATTGATCCAAGTACATGCAAAATCTTCTCACCATCTAATGGATAGTCAACATTTGGAGGTGGCGAGGGACGCTGAAATATAAATATCATAAGCATTAGTCCACACATGTTGTAACCTCTGAAAAAAGAAGACACATTTATTTTTAGCTTACCTCATTATTCCCATCAATATTAAATTTTGCTGCTTGAATTTTCAATCCACGCTTCAGTTCACTTACAAAGCAAGTACGCACTCAAAGGAAGAAAAGGAGACTTTAGTATGGCTAGTGATTAATGGAATAGAGTGAACTTACCCCAATTCAAAAAGTTCTAGTCAAGTGAACATGCTAATTATCCATTCCTTTGGATTTTATAAAGTTTATTCCTGTCTTCAGTTAGCTTACAACAATTTATTCACAAATAAAAAAACTTTTAATTCACTGAGGAACCATAAGAAATGTTCTATGTTCATCTTCTATAAAACCTCATTTTTTAAAAATCACCTTTGAGGATACTATTATGTTGTTTGATATCCCTTTTATAAAGAATACCACAATAAAAATAAATTTTAGCATCATAAAAATGTAGCTATTCTATTCTGAATAGCATATTTCTTTGAACCAGATTGATTTCTTATTATTTTATATGTATACTTTTAAATTTATTTTTATTTTCTCATCTTCTTTGTGATGGTAGCTCTGATTCTTTTTTAAAAACCTTGGTCAGTCAGAACACAAAGCTAAATCTTGCCTCTAGTTGCAGTGTAACACACCTTAGTTTATGGGGTTTTAGCATGATTGTTTTCTTTATCTTAGCGCATCCCAACATTACCACTATCCTTCTGCTGTATCAATTTACTTTTTGCAAAAATTTTGAACACTTATTCTTTTAAAGATTCTTTTTTTTTCAAAGTGTCTTTTATAATAAGCTGCTTCAAGTTATTTTCAGAAAGTTAAGAAATATATTTTTTAAAGTAGAGGCAAAACTGATTTTGATTGCAAGAAGTCTGACGACTTGGTTGAATTACCTGAAAAACATGATAGTCATATATATTATAAAAATTGTATATATGACAGTAAATATACACGAAGTTTTTTCATAATATACGATGTAGCAAATTTCATTCACTAATTCAAAACACATTCATTGAGAATACTCAATATGCTAATATGGTAGGCAGTGAACTAGGTACCAAAATTACTTACATATTTTATATTTTATTGAAGTCCTCATGACTGACTAAGCAAGGTAAATAACTAGCCCTCAAGATCTTATATCATACTTGGCAGAGGCAGATGTCTTTCGTTAAAGCATCCAAATTATACTGAATTAAAAATCTATGAACAGGTAAGTTACACTGAAGAATTTTTAAATAATTTGAAAATTTTGAATTTGTAAATAACTTTGGTAATTAGATCACATGTAATGAATTTGTGTGTGCTGCACATTTGTTTCTAACAGAAATGGGCCGCTACTGTACCTTATCCTTCAGCAGCATGCTTTTTCCTTAACATTATAGACATCTTTCCAAATCAACACATCTAGCTCTTTCTTTGCAATAGCTACATGGCGCTCCTTACTAGGAAGTCACCAAATTTCATTCTATATTCTGTTTTTAGATGGGATGTGCACTTCCCATTTTAATAATCATGCCAGATTGCTTTCCAAAAAGGTCAGTTTGCAATCCTTACTAACAGTAATATACATTCATTTTCCCACAATCTCACCAATCTTTCACATTTTTACGGTCATTTGAAAAGAAAACACTCTACATGGGGGATAGGATTGAAATAAAGGAAACTCTTTTTCTTCATTTTTTTGTGCTGCTGTAATAAACACTACAAAGGAAATTTTATAATAATTGAAAAGATTTTAGGTAATTATACCACATAAGTAAGCAATATAATTCAGAATAAGATCTGTTTTGCAGCACTAGCTCTAACCTTACCTTCCTGCATGACACTGAACAAATCATTTAATAATTCAGGGCCCCAAGTGTACTAGATTATCTCCAAGTCCCTTTTAGCCCTAAAATCCGTCATTATCTAATTATCTATTAAATAGTGTAAATTATTAATAATGACCCTTCAAGTACTAAAGAACATTGTTATTTAAATGCGTTTACTTTCAGCGAATAAAAATATCAAAAAATCCAATTTCAACATTATCATAAAAATCCACTCTAGTAAAGTAGAAGCAATAAATCTTATTTCGATGAATCCAAAAGTACACTGTAGTACTTTGGTCCCAATTCCAGAATTTCTGAATATTCAGTATAATGACCAAGCTTATAAAAATGTATAAAACAAACTAGAGCAAAAAAATTATACTGCATCAAACTAGTGGTTTTCTTAAGCAATTTAACTGTTCTTTCATACTGTGCAAACTACTAGTTCTCTAGTAACCCTGAATACTCTACACATAATTGAGAAGCTGCTTTACTAACACATTATGAATAATGTCAGAGCTTCCATAAATGGAAGAATCAGATTCTTGTATCCCATAGCTGATATATTAAATATTTTTAGAATATATTGTAAGTATATTTTGTATCTCTCCAAATATTTAGAAACATATGCCTTCCAAACTAACACTCAATCAAGGTTGCTGAAAGGATCAATAATGAGAAGTTGGTTTACCTTTAATATCTTCTAAGACACCTTCTGGAACTGAACCTAAAACAAACATTTTATTTAGAATCATAGAACTTTAATAATAACTAAAACAGTCTATTAAATTGCATTTACATTTTCCATTTCAGAAAAATATTTAAAAAATATAACTAATTAGCCAGGCTCGGTGGCTCAGCCTGTAATCCCGTGCCTTTGGGAGGCTGAGGTGAGTGGACTGCCTGAGCCCCTGGGTTCGAGACCC